AAGTAAACGGGTATCTCTCCGATCTTTCTCGCTTCTTCACTCCAAAGTGTCTAGCCCTCTGCCCTACGAAATCCTCTGCGACCTTGTTCACAACCTGGACGAAGGAGGAGGAGGACCAATTCCGACGGTGAATAACCCGAAAATGCTCGGAGTAACATTCGACAGCCTGCTCTCCTTCTCTGCGCACGCAACCGCTATTGTCAATAAAGTACAGAGCCGCAAAAAGGTCCTTAAGTCGCTAGCCGGCAGTACTTGGGGCCAAGACAAAGAAACGTTGCTGGCAACATACAAGGCAATAGGCCGGCCGGTTTTAAACTACACAGCACCAGTGTGGTCGCCGGGGACTAGTAGGACGCAGTGGATGAAGCTACAGACAGCACAGAACACAACACTCAGGACAGCGACCGGATGCCTCCTGATGTCGCCAGAACACCACCTTCATAACGAGGCACAAATGCTCCCAATCAAGGAGCATAACATAATGCTCTGCAAGCAGTATCTGATTGGGAGCCACCGATGTGGCCACCCAAACAGACAGCTGCTTGCAGAGGAGCCCTCGCCTAGGCACGTCAGGAGGCATCTATACGAACTAACGGACGAAGTCCAGAGGTTCATCAAACAGTCTCTGGACCCGTCAGCATACCGACTGGCCCTGAAAGTCATTCACAGGGACTCAGTCTCGGGATACGTAGACTCTAGCCCTGTGAATGCCGTTAGAGGCATACAACCACCGGACATAGACGTGACGGAGCTTCATCTGCCTCGGGAGACAAGAACCACAATAGCCCAACTTCGCTCTGGCTACTGCAGCAGGTTAAACTCATACCTGAGCAGACTGAATGCGGATGTGCCAAATGAGTGGACCGACCCTGTAGAGGCTGCACGCTTCCTAGGGCTGCCGTTAGTGGAAATTGACGACAACGACCGAGATATCAACCGATCTGGGTGGGGTTGTTGTAGCCGCTACAACAACAAAAACAACAACCAAAAGAGAAATTGCCGAAAATGGGCAACAAAAGTTTCTGTGTGTGAGCGCAGTCAATGTGTCGCAACTCTGCATGTAGAAACAGTTTGAATACCGCAGTATAACAGTATCCAAACATTGTATTGATACGTTTTGGAAGTCAGTCATATTAAATCACGTTTATCAGTTTGCGCACATAAAAAGGAAAAAGCGACGACTTTGAGGGCCAGTTTTTCAGTGCTGGTAAATGTGAAAAATGTAAATGTTTGGCCAAATACTTGAATACTTAGTGATGTAGAATTTTATCTTTTTTCATTTGGTAGTAAAAACTTCTTTGTACTTTGAAATTCATTTTTTGAATTAATCTCCAATATCGATATCAATGACCCCACTGTGCAGCAACTGGCTTTAACACAAATAACAAAAATTTACATAGAAAGTGTTATTTATAAAATTTTTCCCCTGTTAAAGTTTATTTTTCAAAAAAGGAAAAATCGAATATGTTTTAAACAAGTTTTTCGTAAATGTTTTAATTTACATGTTTTTAACTTATTTAAACATTGTTTTAAACGCTTTTAATAATTCAATACTTTCGAAATTAAGGGTAGAAAGAAATCAAATCCAGCGAAGAACTAATCAAATATCTATTAGAAATAAATAATAAAAGGGGTCTTAAATTCGTAAAACCCTCGTAAGCCTCGTAAAGTTCATAAATTTATGAGCCTTGTAAAAGAACTGTCACGAGCCCCCCGTAAATTTACGAGGCAAATTTGATGCGCAAACGACCTCGTAAACTTCAATGTTGCCGAGAGGCCGACATTTTTATGCTACAATGTATGATAAAACAATGAAAAAAATAAAAAAAATTATACGCGAATAAAATGAATGTATTTCATCCACTAACTGTATTGACTTAGGTTTTCTGCTAATTTTCGGCATTTTTAGTTGTATTTTAGCCAAGAATGATAAGAGACAAGATGGCGGGATGTTATGGGAAATACTACAAAACAAAAATTGCTTCACAAAATCCTGGTTGATCTGTCAAACAGTCTCTTTACCCACCTATTTAAACCTTTTCACAAAGGAGCGTTCTCATAAAAGCCTCGTAAACTTACGAGTTTTACACGCTTTAAGACTTTACGAGTTTAAGGGAATCCCCTAAATGTTTACCATTAAAATGAACGTTATATAAATAAAAAGTAGTCTTGTGTATTATTGAGATTTGATTGATGAATTAAATAAAACCATTTCAGTCCTTGTCCGCACCCATAGACGAGCCTCTGCCTCTTTCTGGATTAAGCGCCCTCATAATCGTAACAAATTTTGTTGCTTTCTCGGTGCCAAGCCTGTTGCGTAGTTTCGAGTGAACCAACCCAAAGCTCGAATACAATCTTTCAATTCTCACAGAAGAAGCAGTGGCCGTAAATAACTGATTTGTGGCCTCTACAATCTGTGCATCTATTTTACTTCCCATCGATCTCCACCAGACCGACACATGATTTTTTTTTTCTTCTTTTTCTTCCGATAGTCCTTCACCTTTATGTTTGGGGTCTAATATATAGGCCGCAAAATGTGCAGCTGTCATTGCAGCGGATGAGGACAAAATTCGGACGATAAGGGCCATTATGTTGCTAATAAAACCAGCGTTTGAAAGTGCTTCCATTTTTCTTTTTCATATGCTTCGAGTTTGCTTTGGCTGTGAGAAAATTCAAAGCCAACAGCTAAGCGAAAGTAAAAACAAAAAAAAAACCGAAGCTGTACTGTCGATTTGCTGATGTCATCTTCGCCTATGCTCACTGCCAAATACAATGCCGATATCAAGAGTATTGCCGCTTCGTCTGCTTTTTCATGTGTTGTTGACGTTACTTCTCCTGATGTAATTGATACGACACCATTATCGTATGCGAATGCTGTTTCTGGTTCTCTCGTCAGTGCTAAAAGTAATAAAAAGCAAACATCTGCTAATACTAATACACTTCCTAACACCAATGCTTCTACTGCTGATACTGTTGTTGCTAGTAATTCTGGAACCATGTGCGCTCTCGGACCTGCTGCTGCTAAGAGAAATAATAACGAGACATCCGCTAGTGCTAATGCACTTTCTAACGACTTCTGGTGCTGGTGTACGGAAAGACAATAAAACAAGTGCCAGCGTTGTTGGTAGTAATCCCAGTAAAGAATTGGATGTTGTTGTTCCGCTCAAATGGTTGCATTTGTCGTCTTTTAAGCCCTCTGTCAACGAAAATGACATCATAAATTTTGTCCCTAAACATGCATCGATTGATTCTAACAGCATCTCTTGCTATAACCTTATTAAAAAAGACCTTTCTGCTGACTCTTTGAAGAAATTGGTAAGAGTTAATTTCAAGTTGGGTGTCTCTTTATCAGACTATAATAAACTGCTAAGCTCAGCTGATTTGCTTGACCTTGGTTTGTCGGTCCAAACAGGAATCTTTATTTACGGTTGATGGATAGCTCGTTTCCAATGGATGGTGGCAAGAAAGTGGCTGACTTACGTGTAATGATTTTGTATTACCGGCTTATGGTGACTCAATTGCTGTCAAATGAATAGTCCAGATTTGATGCTCACAACTTCTTCATTCTACGCAACAACATGGCTGGGGATTTGCCGGAAGGAATGTGACGGCACCTTTTGCCTCTATTAATTTCCACTGAGGGGTGAGTATCAACTCCCCGAATGTCGCCAGCTTTTGATACAAGTGTTTTATCCACTTGAAATACTTGGTCGTAATTCCGTTCTGCGAGGGCTGATGAGTGTGGTTCGCTCCGTGTCCAATTCCAAAAAGAGAAATATATTTTTCTAGCCTCGTGGTATGTGACCACCGATTCTTTTATCGTATGTCAGTGTCGCGTTTTCTCATCTTCAGCGACACGTTAACAAAAAAAATGTGGAGCGTTTAGTAGGGATATGAGAATGGTGGTTCGAATGCGATTCACGGGCTGTGGTTTGATCGGCGTTAGACCTTACATCGAAATCGTTCTACATGATCTTCATCAACCCCATCCTGACTCCTTCAGTTCGCCTTTAAGCGCATATGTATGTACAAATGTTCCGTCTTTCGTATTTAGTTTCAGTACGCATTACATAAGCTACGGTAGATGAAAGGCATTGGTAAATGATTTGGTTATGAATCCTTTCTTGTTTGCTTTGATCGATTTACTAGCAATGTACTGAGGATATAATATAACAAAACTATGGATATAACAAAACTAAACTTAATTAATTTATACAAGCCGGGTACCCTGTAATAAGGCAGAATCAATGGAGTATGGAGGCCTGCCATATATTCTTCGAAATTCTTGAGAAGGCGAATGTACTAAATGGGTTAACGTCTTGTGATTAAATCGGCGGAATAATTGCCAAGCACTCGGTGTTTAGCATCGATCAGTTCATATGAATTCGAACCAAGTTTCCGTGAAACATAGGCTCTAATTTTTGGTGGGACTAGTTTTTGTGCATAGCTCTCTCCGGCCACGGACTGTTTAGGATTGCGAATGTACACTTCCGAGCCTATCTCGAAATGGCGTTCTCTTTTGCGGGTAAATGCCCGTTGTGCGGTTTGTTGATATTGTTCGAACTGTTTGTCTCGAATTTCATCAGCCAGAACTTTACGCTGTTCCACATCCTGTGTATGGTATGGATTTACATCCAATAATAATTTATATTCGTTTCCAATTTTCACATATTCACTGCCAGTGTGCAGGAAATATGGCGTGTAGCCCGTGGCTGAATGCACTGAAGTGTTAATATCATGAATAACACAGGACAGATGGTTAGGTCGCCGAAACAACAACCCTTGGTCGGGTAAAACCCGTGTCATTCCGGTACGTAGAACCGGCTGTCGCGGGAATGTCGTGTAATTGGTTGTCGTAACCTTCTGTTCTATTAGCCTTGATAACCGACTATATGATGAAATATTTCTTTCATAAATAAATTGTGTTGATTTATTTACTTCCTTAGATGTCTGATTTTATTACTATGTATAAACAAACTTTATATTTACATTTATATAATATATTTATAATACTTTTTTGTTGTTTTTCAGGAACGTGTTGGCCGTAGGTTAGGGGGTTTGAGAGTTTTAAACTCTTATTGGGTGGCTCAGGACGCGTCTTATAAATATTTTGAAGTCATTTTAGTGGACATCCATCATAACGCTATAAGAAGAGATCCAAAAATAAATTGGCTTTGTAAGCATGTTCATAAACATCGTGAGCTTCGTGGTTTGACCTCAGCTGGCAAAAGTTCTCGTGGAATTGGCAAGGGCTACCGTTATTCGCAGACTATTGGAGGTTCCCGTCGTGCTGCATGGAAACGCAAAAATACTTTGCAAATGCATCGTAAACGCTAGAGCGATATTTTTAGTTTTGATATGCTCGCAAAATATAAAGATACGCGTGTTTTCGAAGAATGTATTTTTATTTTTTGTTCGGAGTCTGATGACCGAAGATGCTTAAATGACTTTCCTTCACTGTATGAACTGTGAGCCGCAAAAATAAGTAATAAGTCCCTTCACTTACATTGATCCTTCTGTTTATTACAGGAACCTTGTTGGCAAAAATTAAAATGTTTGAACGCAGATTATGGTTATGGTTATGTAGGGGTGGTCTACCGCCCCCTTGCACTTTGTCGTTCCCACGACAGTCAGGTCTACGCAATCGGAACGACAAAAATTTTTATCGCCACTCCAGCATCGCTCGGCAAAAATTTGTTGGGGATTTCCAACAACACTTAAATCAAAAAATTTACGAATTTGAAAAATTGCTCTCACTCAATCCGAGTGAAGTCGCCAGCACAAATTATTCAGACTAACACCCTTATTCTAGAACCCGAATTATCGTAATTCGTTAATTCGTAGCAACGTTACGAAAAACAAAAAATCGACATTCCCACGACAGCCGGTTCTACGTACCGGAATGACTGGGGTTTTACCCGACCAAGGGCTGTTGTTTCGGCGATCTAACCCCGTTTAGGTCGGCGAAATACATCAAACGTTGCTCGATCCTAGGGCTACACCTCCGCAGCCTTCTGCTCAGGGCTGGCATAGAGTCAAACCCAAGGCCAGAAATCTACCCTGCTGCGTATGCCAGAGACGACTGCATACAAACTCCACCTCGGTCAGGTGCAAAGCCTGTGACGGGTGGAGTCACCTCCGTAGCTGCTCGGGCCTGCGTACGCACCGGCAATGGACCACGTCGTTCGTGGCACCATGCTGTGCGAACCGGACCGCCCTCACGGCAAACCACCACCACCTGGGCAGCACACAATCAACACACCCACACCCCAACACAACACAACAATGGACACACAAACAAACACAATAGCACCCACACACCGCCGCCGGCAACTCCTAGTCCCTCCGACAATCTGCTCTGTTTGTCAGTCCAGAATATACCGTAACGTGACATCAGTCAAGTGCAACTCTTGCCTCGGCTGGTGCCACTTTAGGGCGTGCTCAGGACTTCGCAAAACACGAGATTGGACGAGTGGCTATGTGGGCCCCTGCTGTGCTGCCCCGTCGCATCCCTCCCCCGCGACGCCTCCAACCACCACCACAAGGCAGCACCCCTTTTGCAGCACGTACAGCAGGGGGCCGGCAGGCAACACAACTCTTTAACACCACACATCACAATCGGTCTCCCAAGGCACACAAAGGTGCTACAATTTAACTGTAACGGACTCCAGAGCAAGATCGAGGAGATAACTGTCTTTATGGGAAGGCATGGAATATTAATAGCTGCGGTCCAAGAGACGAAGTTGCACGGCAATTCAACCCTGTTGATTTGCGCCGGATACAACGTGCACCGTCGAGATCGCGAGCGAGATAATGGTGGGGGTTTAGCGTTCATCACGCACCACACCGTGCAGTATCGTCTCATTGAAGCAGACATCGACCGCGGGGATACCATCCTAGAATGTCAGGGTATTGCTATCCGGTCTGCGATGTTGAGCTCGAAATATTAAACGTATACATACCCCCTGTCACCTGCTGCCCGGCTGGTTATCACCCTGAAATAGGTGCGCTACTCAGAGGTGAAAACCGTATGGTAGTTGGTGACTTTAACGCGCACCACGATCTCTGGCACTCAAGCCTTGCAAATGATCGTAGGGGACTACATCTGGCTGAGCAGATAGGCGATTCGAAATTCTGCACAATGAACGACGACGCACCCACCAGGATTATGGGCAGCTGCTGCAGCTCGCCAGATCTAACAATTGTCAGCGCTGGTCTGATAAACTGCGTATCATGGCGACCTATGCTGACTCTAGCATCAGACCATCTGCCCATAGTCATCTCGATTGATAAACCTGCCGACTTTGCTTCCGTGGATCACCGGACTTATGTCAACGTTTCCAAAGCTGACTGGAAAGGCTTCACGAATGTTACGGAGGGCGCCTTCACTGCACTACCCATACCAACCGACGTTCATGTAGGTGAACGTAATTTCCGCAGGGTTGTCACCGCTACTGCAGCTCGCTTCATCCCAGCAGCATGTATTAAGGAACCACGTCCGAATTTTCCTGCCGAAACGGCTGTTCTAGCTGATGAGCGCGACAACCTTTGTCAGGCCGATCCCGGAAATCCCCGTATTAGGGATCTCAATTCGGAGATTCGGCAACTTGTGAACGTACATAAGCGGAAGAAATGGGAAGAGCATCTGAAGACCTGCAACTTCGCCTCTGGTGTGAGCAAGCTTTGGTCTACCGTGAGGTCGTTGTCCAACCCGACGAAGCGCGACGACAGAGTCGAGATAGACTGGTGACCACGCTTCGTCGGACCCGGAGAGATGCGCGAGCTATTTTAGCCGGCAGTTCATTCTGCATCCTCCGGTGGATAAAGCCAAACTTCGAGTGACCAGAAGGCTGCACAAAATGCCAAAACCTAGTGCGCCTCTTGTTTTCACCAGCGGTGAGGCAAGGGTAGCTAGCCATCGGGAAGGCGAAAGCCTCCAAAGCCATTGGCCCCAACGGAATATGCATGTTGATGCTGAAAAAAATGGGTCCTGCGGGAGTAGCGTACCTAACGGAGGTCCTCAACCTGTCTATGGCCACTCGTCATTCCAGACATCTGGAAAATGGGGAGAGTGGTCCCACTTTCCCCGGTAGCGAAGACACTGACGAGGCCCTGCTGCTCCCGTACTTCACGAACCACCTGACCCCAGCGAAGCATCAACATGGGTTCCGTAAAGTGCATAGTACAACAACAGTACTTAACGCCATAAACACTCAGATAACTCGTGGCCTAAACCGAAACCGCCCCTGTGACTGAACTATTCTAGTAGCGTTGGACTTGTCCAAGGCGTTCGACACTGTCAGTCATTCAACGCTACTAGAAGATATAGAGGCCTCCTCACTCCCACAGGGACTCAGACGGTGGTCGGCGAATTACCTGAGTGGTCGACACTCGTCAGTAACCTTCAGAGACAAAACCAGCAAGCCACGTAAAATTAAACGGGTACCACAGGGTGGTGTCCTGTCCCCGCTACTGTTTAACTATTACATATCTAAGCTTCCTCAGCCACCAGAGGGTGCTAATATAGTCTAGTATGCTGACGATTGTTCGATCATGGCGTCTGGGAATGGAATTGATGACTTGTGCTCAAAAGTAAACGGTTACCTCCGAACTTTCTCGCTTCTTCACTGCAAGGAGCCTTGCCCTATCCCCTGCGAAATCCTCGGCAACCCTTTTCACCACCTGGACGAAGGTCAGACTGCCACGTCGATGACGTAACAATACCGGCGGTGAGTAACCCGAAAATCCTCCGAGTTACCTTCGACAGTCTGCTGTCCTTCTCGGCGCATACAACCGCAATTGTCAACAAAGAATAGAGACGCAACAATGCCCTCAAGTCGCTGACCGGCAGCACTTGGGGCAAAGATAAAGAAACGTTGTTGGCAACATACAAGGCAATTGGCCGGCCGGTTCTGAACGTATGGTCGCCGGGGACTAGCAGGACGCAGTGGATGAAGCTGCAGACCGGCCAAAACACGGCATTACGAACTGCGACATGATGCCTCCTGATGACGCCTCAACACCACCTTCACGACGAGTTCCAGGAGCTCCCAGTAAAGGAGCATAACATAATGCTCTGCAAGCAGTTCCTCGCTGGGAGCCACAGACATGGCCATCCCAGCGGGCAACTGCTCGCGGAAGAGCCCTCGCCACGGCACGTCAGGAGGCATCTTTACGAATTGACAGACGAAGTCCAGAGGTATATTAAACAACCTCTGGACCCGTCAACCTACCGACAGGCCCTGAACGGCATTCACAGGGAATCAGTCTCAAGTTATGTAGACACAACCACCGGACGTGGACGGGACAGAACTTTGTCTGCCTCGGGAGACCCGCACTACAATAGCCCAACTCCGCTCTGGCTATTGCAGCAGGCTCAAGAGCTATCTGAGCGGAATCAACTAGGATGTGCCCAACCAATGCCCGGCATGTAGAGAGTCGCCACATGACTCCCGGCACTTCACATGCCCTGAGAATCCCACTCAGCTAACGCCCCTGTCCCTATGGACAGCCCCTCTGGAAGTAGCACACTTCCCAGGCCTCCCCCTAGCTGAAATAGACGACAACGTTGGTGGATGAACCGCCCCGAACGGGGCTTAGTAGCCGCTACAACAACAACAACAAAAACTCGATTCTATTGCATTTGCAGTTATAGCAGCGGAGTAAGAGCGCGTTATGGGAATGAATTCACAAAGCTATGCGGTGCTGTCGAGCTTAACCATGGACGCATCTATGTATGTGAGCTTCTGTTTGAATTGTTGAACTACAAGCCACAACTATTATACCTGAAGAACTGGTAATCCAGTTAATGCAATAACAACTTCTTCCAAGTCATTGAAAATATGCATTTGGTTAGGTTCACCACCTGTTGCGCTTGCTTGTGCCTTCGGCCGCGCTTAGGGATTATAACCCTTACTAGGTAGAATTCTCCTTTCTGTGTTGCCGAAGAAGAAGTGTGGAAGCTCTTCTATTGTAAAAGATATATAACACTACTTGTGCATTAACCTCCAGCTACGGCTTCCAGAACGCAGAACACATCGAAATTTACAAAGAAGTGCACAGTTAAAACCGAATTTAATAATAAACTAGTGCTCGGAAATTTGGAACATTTGTCTTAGGGTCGGTTGTTCAATGTCTGATTAGCGCAATTTGGAGGTAGAAGCTCCGGTTAAGCACAACTACTGCTGTATCGATCACATTTTACATGCATGATGTCGAAATCGTCGATAGTGTAGTGGTAGTGATAACCAGACATTGAACAACCGGCCCTTAAATTAGGCCCCTATTCTGAGTTGCATTCGATCTTCGACTGTGGTCGAAAGTGCTGATCGAACGAATTTTCATTTGGTATTATGATGCTCATTCGATGAAGAAAAGCGCTATTGTAAATTTCGCTCGTTTTAGTATATTTTCTGCCGCTGAGAAGCTTTGTTTACAAATCGAGCAAACCAAATAGTGTGCTTATACATATAAATCAAAGAGTTGATTATAGTTTAAGAGTATTTGATTTAATTAACAGTAGATCACAAACAATTAATTATTGAGTCAAATAGTTGTTGAGTTAATGTAACAAATGAGTAAATTCTTATTAAAAGGAACAAAAGATACACAGCTTTAAATTACACACGGCTGATACTGCTGATTCGGCCGTTACTTCTTATTCGGCTGATACTCGACGGACAACTGAACTGCTCGTTATTTTGTCTTCTCGCATCCTTCACAGTGTAGGGGTGCCGCCTCGCAACGAATGTATAGGGATGCTATCCTACACTCGGTCACCCTGGTGACTCTTCTACAACCTCGTTATCATCATCGATTTCTTCGGCACAACACCAAAGCTTTATGTTATCCGCACTAGTTGATGTATGGTTAATAATAATAATAATAGATTGGCGCTTACCCATATGTTAGTGTTTGGCCGAGCTTCTCCTCCGATTGGTGGCGTGCGCCTTGATGTTGTCACAAAAAGCGGAGGGACCTACAGTTTTACGCCGACTCCGAACGGCGATTG